GAAGGTGACCCAACAGAGTGTGGAAACTATAGGACAGTATCTTTGATTTCACATGCAAGCAAGATTCTACTGAAGATTATCCAAAAATGACTAGAACATCACATCAGCAGAGAACTGCCAGAAGTCCAGGCTGAGTTTAGAAGGGGTCGTGGTACTAGGGATATTGTAGCTTATGTCAGATGAATATTGGCTGAAAACAGGGAATACCAGAAGAATGTCTATCTGTGCTTCATTGATTACGCAAAGGCATTTGACTGTGTGGACCATAACAAACTTGGCTGACTCTGAGATAAATGGGAATCCCAGAACGCTTGATAGTGCTAATGGAAAACTTATACTTAGACCAAGAGGCAGTCGTCAGAACAGAGCAGGGAAACACTGCATGGTTCAAAATTGGGAAGGGAGTACGCCAGGAATGTGTCCTGTCTCCGTACCTTTTCAACCTGTATGAAGAACAGATTATCTGGGAGGCTGGGCTCTATGAGGAAAAATGCGGCATCAGGGTTGGTCGAAGATCTATCAACAATCTGCGTTATGCAGATGACACAACCTCTAAATTGAGTACTCCTTTAAATCTCAATCTGATTATGTTTCTCACAGAAAGTTCCTTGTAATTTCTTTGAAGACATCTATATGTCTCTATGTCTCTATCTATATGTTCATGGTGATATTTTCATCTCAAGACCTTTGGTGATTTCACATTTGTGAAATCATTTTTCATATGACTAGTAACATATGCGTGGTTTCATTAGATTAAGATGTTGCTATCTGGTGGTGGTGGTTCTTAAGTGCCTGCAAATTGGAATTGACTTCTAGTTGACCCTCTAGTGGATTTTTAGGCTATAAAAAGCAAGAAAGGAGATTTCCCATTTTTCTCCTCAGGAGCAGTTGGTAGATTCAGACTACTTGCCTTTGGATTGGAAGTGCAACTCCTTACCACTAAGCCACCATTTCGGAGAAAGTATAGTTCTTCCTACACTGCTCTCAGGCTACCAGTGTTCATGTCTGTCACCCATGCCAAATGTATTCCACTCAAATCAACAACTCCACAAGTCACAATCCATTGTAACATCAATTTAGATTTCAAAATGTTATCTAAATTTCATAAATTAAACAATCTTAAATATTGTCAGCTAAATTTCACACAGACTAGGCTCCATGTATGGGAAAATACTTTTCCACCAATAAACTTGAAGTTTTGTTCACCCAAAATACAATAACGGAATAGGCAGAAGTGCCAATTATAAACAACCCTTGACAAAAGAGAAACAGTTGAATGGGGGAAAAGCCACTGTCCCAATTTATTTTCAAATATAACAAAATAAAAATGAGGTTGTGTGCCTTGCCACTGTGATTTAAGGTTTAGTCCTCTGAGGCTTGTGATTTCTTCCTTAGGGCCACTTTTTTTTTTTATTGTCTTGCTTTTAAAAAGTGAAATAAATTTTAACTGAAAAGTTTTAATAGATACTTTCATGTCTGTAGAACTTTGAGAGCCTGTGATTTTATTTTACTTCTCTTTTTTTTAGTCCAAATGAACAGTGTTTCTACTAGTGCACAATTCTCAGAACTTGTGAGTCTCCTGTATATGTTGTAGAGATTCACTAATTTAGGTAACCAGTGAAATCTGACCTACTACCGCTGAGTTGATTCTGTCTCAGAGCAACCGTATAGTACAGAGTACAACTGCCCCAGAGGATTTCCAAAGCTGAAATCATTATGGAAGCAGGCTGCCACATCTTGCGAGACAACTGGTGAATTCTCTGCACTTGATCTTAGCCAAAAGCCTGAGAAGCGATACAACTGGTGAATTCTCTGATATTTTAGTTAGCTACTGAGTTCTGCAATCATTGAACTGCCATATAGTACATTTTGAGGAGACCAAATTCAGTCGAAAATAATTGGGATTCTCTAATAGAGTAAGAATATGAGCTGTACATGTGGAAGGGTGCAGTAAAAGTAATAAACACAAGGTGCTATATGTGTGGAAGGATGGTGAATGTTTGTGTTTAAATATGGAGTTATTCTAAGGAATTGACTTATATAAGTACCATTGATAGCTAAGTAAACCTGACTTTCATAAGGGTAGTAGTCAGCAAGGAAAAATATAAGCACTTTGGACCTCAATCAGTCATTGCAATACAGTTGAAACTGTCACATAGTTGACCTTTTATTGGATTTCCAAGACTGAAAATATCGTGGGAGGAGATTGTCTGTATTTCTCCCACAGAGCCACTGTTTGTTTCAGATTACCAGAGAAGCATCATTTTTGGTTTAGTAGTACAACTCTTTCTACCACCAGAGCTCCCTAAATCTTTTTTGGTTTTCTGTTGCCGCGTAACAAATTCCAACAAGTTTACTGTTTTATGTCATCTTCCAGCTATTTTCTCACAATGTCTACATAAAATATCCAACCCATATTAAGGAAGTGGATCACACAGGAATATTTGTACCATGAAGCAAAAATCACAAGACTATTTAAGAATTCTGTTTACCATTAATTGTGTTTGACACTTCAGACAAAGAAATTAATCCATGTAAAAAGAATAGATTTAGTAAAAGAGACAACTCTTTCTTCCTGTCCTTTGTAAAAAGTAAGACATACACTAAGAAATACTGATAGCCAGAGAAAGAGAACATTTTTTAAGAGATCTGTTGATAGGAATTATTGTCAGTATGTACAGCAAGTACAAAGTCTTTTCCAGAAAGCTGGAGTCCAATGGAAGATTAAGGACCAATGAAGAAATTGAGGGACGGGGAAAAACAAAACCGTTTTCTTGAGATTATCATCATTTTGAGATGATGATTAGTATTTTTTCCTTCTTTTTAAAATTTTATTAATCTTAATGAACATTTACAGAGATTTTGGATTTCCACGCATTCGTTGTTGCACTTTTCTCCCTGCTCACCTCTCCCCACCAGTTCGCTCTTCCTTTTGAAAAGTTAAAGAAAAATTCCTTCATTGGTATACAGGCCCCCCGCCCTAAGTACACTCCACTATGCAACCTTCTTTTTTTTAATGCAGGTTTACTTACAAAGTTTGTATGCATTGTTTTTCACACCAGATAATTAGTCTTTAAAATATGAAATGAATGTTGTTCTTTTTAAATTCTTGTTTTTCAACAATGCTACAAGGAACTCTTCCAGCTATCATTCCTTTTTCATTCAAACATCAAAAAACAGAAAGTATATTTCTACCTTGTGAAAGTTAGACAGCCATCTGCACAAAAATTTACTATAGTCATTAATCAAGAAGCAACAGTTACTACAAAGGAGGAGCAAAGGTTGTAAAGTTCCTAAAGTATCATGATAAAACCATCTGCCTGACAGCACAACACACTCACACACATAAATGAGACTACTGTCATTTGATAGTTTATATCAAGATTATACTATCAGTAATGGCTTAAACAATCAGATCTCTACCTAATAGGTAGATATTGTGTCAGTGTATCAAATAAAGGTTTAAAATGAAGATAAATAATGATTAATTAAGAAGTTCCTTTTTTTTCTGTGTCTAGCTACTTAAAGAATTTAAAGATGAAGACTGGAATATGGGCAATATAGTTCATACCCTCACAAACAGACGCTACCTTGAAAAGTGCATTGCTTATGCTGAGAGCCATGATCAGGTAATTGATGTATCTTAAAAGAGTATATCTAAATATATTATTTATCTGTCTGTCTGTGTTTAGTTTCAAATCTTAATACAAGGACTTATTACTTAATGTACTGATTTTGTATTTGTGACTTTTATAAAAAGGCTTACATTTGGGAAACTATTTAAAATTATGTCATAGAGTGAGAAAGTCCATTCTCAAAATATTATAGCTTGATACTGTGATAGACAGTGGTTAAAACATCAGCTTATTACCAGAAGGTGGGCAATTTGAACCCATCAGCAGCTGCTCCACAGGAGAAAGACATGACAATCTGCTTCCATAAAGATTCCATCATTGAAAATTCAACAGAATAGTTCTGCTAAGAGCTTGAGATGGTAAACAGCTTTAATTTGCTTGGCTTCATAGTCAACACTCTTGGCACCAGCAGCCAGAAAATTAAAAGGCATACTGCATTGGGAAAGTCTGCTGTCAGAGACCTCTCGCAAGTACTGAAGAACAATGTTGTGAGGCTGGAGACTAGAGTACACCTGATACAGAAACATGGACTTTGCAATCACTTGCTATGCATCAGAGAGCTGGACAATGACTAGGGATGATGGTAGGAGAATGAATGCCTTTTAGCTGTAGTGCTGGAGAAGTGTATTGAATATAACATGGACTGCTAAGAGAATGAGCAGATTCATCCTGGAGAGGGTGAAACCAAGCTGCTCCTTGGTGACAAGGATTCTGAAGCTTCATCGGATATACTTTGACATGGAAAGGAGGGACCAGTCCTTGGAGAAAGACATATTCTTGGGAGGGTGGAGGGATAGCCAAGGAGAAGAAGACCCTCAATGAGAAGGATTGATTCAGTGACTGGGGTAATGGGGGTAGGTGCATCAGAGACACTAAGATTGTCACAGGATAGAGCAGGGTTTAGGGCTGTTGTACATAGGGTCCTATGAGTTGCAGGCGACTCGATGGCACATAACAACACCACCTCTGTTCTACAAGGCTGCTATCAGTTGGAGTTGGCTAAAGCCTATTGATATTCATAATTTGATTGATACGGAAAAATTTCTGGAAGCACTATATGTACAAGAGCCAATGGTAATGAAGGAAGAAGTTCAAACCGCACTAAAGTCAGTGGCAAAAAAAAAAAAAAATAAGACCCAGGAATATATCAATTGGCATGTTTTATCTAATAAAGGTGGCTCTGGACGTATTCACCCATCTATGCCATAAAATTTGGAGGACAGCTCCCTGACCAACTGACTGGAAGAGATCCATATTTGTTCCATTTCCCCAAAAAAGTGATCCAACAGAATGTGAACATTGTCTAACAATATCTGTAGCAAACTAGATTATAAAGATGGCACATTGTTCACTGAATATAAGAAAGATTCTAAGCATTTGTTGCAGAAGATCAAATATTATAACTTTCAATATAGATCACATCTAAATATCAAGAAACAAATATTCTCATTCTTTGACCATTTGACACAACCTGATAAATGGAGAGGGTTAAAACTGTCAACAAATTCATCTTACTTGTCTGAATCAACACACTTGGTACCAGCAGTAAAGGAAATGAGGAGATAGATTACATTGGGAAAGCCTGCAGTCAGGTACCCTCCAAATTACAGAGAAGCAACAATATTAGTTTGAAAACTAAGGTGCACCTTATTGTGGCCATAGCCTTTTCAATCACTTCTTTTGCACCTGTGAGTTGGACAAGAAATAACTATGACCAAAGAAAAGTTGATCCCTTTGAATTGGTGTTGAATATCCCATGCACTTTCAAGGGAACAAAGAAATCTCTTGTAGAGAGTACAGCTAGAATGCTTCTTCAAGGCAAAGATCACAAAGCATCACCTCACATACTTGGCCATGTTGTTAGGAGGAGATAGTCTTTGGAAATTGACATCATGTTGGAAGGGTGTAGGGTCAGCAAAGGAGAGGAAGACCCTCAACCAGAGGATTTACACAGCTAAAGGATGTCAGAAATGATGAGGATAGCACAGAATAGGGCCATTTCATTTCTGTTTCTCATAAGGTCAATATTGGTTGTACTCAACCTGATGACACCTAACAACAACAACAACAGCAACAACAACAACATACATATACATTCTGTGCTATCGCACAATCTTGAATGATCCAGAAAGCATCAAAAGAAGATGGAAGGAATACACAGAATCTCTATGCCAAAAAGCATTAGTTGACCCTGAAAAATTCTAGGAATCATATGAACAAAAGCCAGCATTAATGATGAATGAAGTTCATGCTGTACTGTAGGCACCAGCAAAAAGTAAGGCCTCAGAAACTGAGGGGATACCAATTGACACGTTCAACTAACAGACGGAGCTTTGGATGCTCTCAATAGTTTACTCGAGGAAATTTGGAGGATGGCTAACTAGCTGTCTGACTGAAAGAGATCTATTATTTGTCTTCTTTTCCGATAAAGATGATCTAACACAATGTGGAAATTGTCAGAAAATATCATTACTATCACATCCAGGTAAAATATTGAACATCATTCAAGAGTGGCTAGAACAGTACCTGGATAGGGAACAGACTGAAGTTCAAGTGGGACTTAGAAGAGCACACAATACAAGGGATATCATTGCTGATTTACATGAATCCTGGCTGAAAGTAAAAAATACTGGAAGAGTATGTATTTGTACCTTATTGACTATGCAAAGGCATCTAACTGTGTGAATAAAAACAAACTATGGGTAATATAGAGAAGAATGGGAATTCCAGAATGCTTAATTGTGTTCATACAAAACCTACACTTTAGATCAAGAAGCTGTTGTGTGAAGTGAGCAGTGGAATGCTGTATGGTTTAAAATTAAGAAAGGAGTGCATCAGAATTGTATCCTTTCTCAATGCTTATTGAATCTGCATGCAGAGAGGCTTGACACTGTGAGGAAAAATGGCATGAAAAGAATCAGTAGAAGACTCATCAATAGCCTGCATTATGCAGATGATACAATCTAGCTTGTTGAAAGTGAGGAAGACTTGAGGAATTTGCTGCAGCAGATTAATGACTGTAGCCTTTAGTATGAATTACATCTCCATGTCAAAAACCTAAAGAGCTTCATGACAAGACCATCAGTCAACATTATGCTAGATGGAGAACATTATGATAGGTTGAAGTTGTTAACAATTTCAGCACCCTTCAGTCTAGCAATCAGGAAACCAGGAAACATATTGCACTGGGAAAGTCTGCTATCAGCAACCTGTCTGTTATGTTAAAGAGCAATATTACCAGTTTAAAGACTCAGATGCACCTTTCTCAGGCAGTGGTCTTTTCAGTCACATGATATGCATCAGACAGCTGGACAACCAATAAGAATGACAGGAATTGGTGCCTTTGAGTTGTACTGCTGGAGAAGAGTAGTGAATACCCCATGGAGTGTCAAGAAAACAAACAGATTTGTCTTGGAGAGGTTTCAGCCTGAGTGCCTCTGGAAGGCAAAGATAGTGAAATTTGCCTTTCATATTTTAGATTTGTAGGTAGGTAAGGCTATTCATTGGAGAGGGGCATCATGCTTGTAAAAATGTGGAGTCAGCAACGGAGAGGAAGATCCCCATTGATGTGGATTGACATAGTGACTTCAGCAGTGGGCTTGAGTGTTTCAAAGATGAGGGGGATGGAAGGGTTCAGGTTGACTACCTGTAGGGTCGCTATGAGTCATACTTGACTTGAGGGCTCATAACAACAGCATATTTTTATATTCTCTAATAAATATAGGTCTATGGATATCTGTTGGTGTAGCGTTTGGGCCTTCCACTGTAAGCCCAATGGTGATACTTCTTTGATGTTTCAAGTCCATGAGCAGCTCCTCAGGAGAAAAATGAGCAATCTCCTTCCTTGCAATTTATATTCCTGAAAACTCAGTGAAGGGTCAATTGTGATTTGGTTCCAACTCATAGGTAATAAGTAAGTGAGTGGTAGATTAGTATGGATCATATTAATTAAGTTAAGGCTAACAATGAGAAGAAAGGAAATTGCAAAACACTTAATTGTGGTCATGGAAACAGAGCAAGGAAACACATGTTGTTGTTGTTGTTGTTATATGCCATCGAGTCACCAGCAACTCAAAGTGAATCTATGTACAGCCCTAATCCCTGATCTGTCCTGTGCCATCAATCTTATTGTCCCAGTCACTGAGTCAATCCATCTAATCCAGGGTCTTCCTTTCCTGTGCTGTCCCTCCACCCTCCCAAGCATGACATTCCTCACCAAGGACTGGTCCCTCCTTATAAATTATGTCAGACGAAACTACAGAATCTTTGCCTCCAAGGAGCAGCCTGATTTTACCCTGTCTAGGATGAACTTGTTCATTCTTTTAGCAGTCCATGGTATATTCAATACCCTTTTCCAACACCACAGCTTAAAGACATTAATTCTCTATCATCCCTAATCATTGTCTCTTATGCATAGCAAATGATTGCAAAGACCACGGCCTGTATCAGGCACACTTTAGTCTCTAGACTGACATCATTGCTCTTCAGTACTTTGGAGAGGTCTCTGACAGCAGACTTTTCCAAGGCAATTTGTCTTTTCATTTACTGGCTGCTGGTACCAAGGGTGTTGATTGTAGAGCCAAGCAAACTTAAGGTGTTAACAATCTCAGTCTTTTCGCCATCTATCACAATGCTGCCAATGAGCCCAGTAGTGGAAAAAAATCTTTGTTTTCTAGATACTGAGCTTTAATTCATATTGAAGGCTGCAGTCCTTGATCTTCTGCAACAATTGCTTCAGAGCTTCCTCAGTTTGAGCAAGCAAGGTTGTCATCTGCATAACGCAGATTGTTAATGAGTTTTCCTCCAATCCTGATGCCACAATTCTCCTCATAAAGCCCAGCCTACCAGAAAATCTGTTCTGCATATAGATTAAAAAGTTATGGAAGCGCTATATGGTTTAAAATTGAGAAAGGAGTGTATCGGGGTTGTATTTTCTCTCCATAATTATTCAATCTGTATACTGAACAAATTATTCGAGAAGCTGGACTCTATGAAGAATAATGTGGCATAAGTATTAGAGAGAAACTCATCAATAACCTGAATTATGCAGATGACACAACCTTGCATTCTGAAAGTGAGGAAGATTTGAAGCACTTGTTTCAGAAGATCAAGGAATTGAACCTTCAATATGTATTTCATTTCAAAAAAATGTATTACATCTCAATGTCAAGAAAACATTTTTTTTTCACCACAGGAGTGATAGGAAACTTCATGATGGATGGAGAAAAGATTGAAACCATCAACAACTTCATCTTCCTTGGATCCATAATTAACATCCTTAGTACCAAGTCAGAAAATAAGGAGCCATTTGCACTGGAAAAGTCAGCTATTAGGGATCTCTCCAAGTTACTGATGAGCAATGATGTCAGTTTAAGAACTAAGGTTCACCTGAGTTAGGCCATGGTATTTCAGATCACTTTCTGTGCATCTGAGAAATGAACAAAGAATAAGGATGACAGAAGAATTGACACCTTTGAGCTGTGGTGTTGAAGAGCACTGAGTATTCCATATGCTGCTAACAGAATAAACAAATATATTTTGCTCAGAGTGGAGCCAGAGTATGCTTTGGAGGCAAGGATAAGGCTTTGCCTCATTTGGGCATGCTGTTAGAAGAGGATATTCCTTGGAGAGGGCCATGATTCTCAGTCAGACACAGGGTCATCGAAGGAGAGGAAGACCTTCAACCAGGTGGATTGACACAGTGACTGCTGCAGTGGGCTTTAATATGTCAGAAAGTATGAGGATGGCACAGGATATGACAGGCTAGAGATCCGTTCATAGGGTTTCTATGGGTCATACTCAACAGCACCTAACAACAATGACAACCATAAGTACAGTTAGAGTTTAATGCATATGTAGTTTATATATGGTAAACATCTAATTATGTTGATATGTGTGTATGTGTGTGTGTAATAATGTATATGTTATTGTTGTTGCTGTTATGTGCCATCAAGTTGCTTGTGACTCATAGTGACCTTATGTACAATAGCCCTAAACTCTGCTCTGTACTGTCCAAACTGACTGTCTCCAACACTCCCACCCAAATTACCCTAGTCACTGAATCAATCCACTTCCCCTCCTGTGCTGTCCCTCCACCCTCCCAAACATGATGCCCCTCTCTAAGGACCAGTCCCTTCTTGCCTCCAAGGAGCAGCCCAGTTTAACCCTTTCCAGGATGAATCTTTCTATTTTCCTAGCAGTCCATGGTACATCAATACTCTTCTCCAGCACCACAGCTCAAAGGCATCAATTCTCCTTCTGTTCTCCCTAGTCATTGTCCAACTCTCTGACGCATAACAACTGATTGCAAAGGCCATGGCCTGTATCAGATGCACCTTAGTCTCCAGAGTGACACTATTGCTTTTCAATACTTTGGAGAGGTACCTAACAGCAGACATTCCCATGGCAATATGTCTTTTAATTTCCTGGCTACTGGTGCCAAAAGTGTTTATCATGGAGCCAAGCAAACAAAAGCTGTCAATAATCTGAATCTCTTCACTGTCCATCCTGTCAATTGGCTCAGTGGTGAGAGTCTTTGTCTTCTTGATATTGAGCCTCAATCCATATTGAAGGCTGCAGTCTTTGACCCTCTGCAGCAAGCACTTCAGGTCCACCTCAGATTCAGCAAGCAGGGTTGTGTCATCTGCATAAGGCAGATTGTTGATGGATCTTCCACCAATCCTGATGCCACATTTCTCCTCATAGAGCCCAGCCTCTTGGATAATCTGTTCTGCATAAAGGTTGACAAGGTATGGAGATAGGACACATCCCTGGCGTACACCCTTCCCAATTCTGAACCATGCAGTGTTTCTTTGCTCTGTTCTGATGACTGCCTCTTGGTCCAAGATTAGGTTTCACATTAGCACAATCAAGTCTTCTGGGATTCCCATTCTTCTCAGAGTCAGTCAGAGTTTGTTTTGATCCACACAGTCAAAAATCTACGTATAGTCAATGAAGCACAGATATATTATCTGTAAATTATTTTTAAATAATATCTTATTCTTTCAAAATGAATGAAATAGAAGTAGAGTAAGTTATTTTAAAGTTGAATTTAATGTTCTCAAAATTAAAACAAATAACTCATTTCAGTTTTGTGATTAGATTTTACAAAATAAAAATAAAGAACAGTGCTGAAAATAAGTCAATCATGTTCTTAGGTCTTTTAAAGGCTTTTTTTGTATAGACTGTAACTATTGTAAAATATAGGGGTTTAATATTAATTCACGTCTTTCCTCTATTATTTGACATTCTTGTGAATCATACATTATCTAGCAAAAGTCATAACTCTTTATTACCCCTTATTTGTATGTATCACTAATGATTGTTATTTCTTTAGGCACTTGTGGGTGATAAGTCCCTGGCATTCTGGATGATGGATGCAGAAATGTACACAAACATGAGCGTGATGGCTCCTCTTACTCCAGTCATTGATCGTGGAATACAGCTTCATAAAATGATTCGACTCATTACCCATGGACTCGGAGGTGAAGGGTATCTCAATTTTATGGGTAAGTATGAGTTTAACACACATCCCGTCTATGTTTTAAAATGTTAATTAGTATTATTTGTGATAAAAGTCATACACTATGTTTTGATTTGGCTTCAGATTTAATGTATAAAATTGTACTTTGTTTCTATACTGGGCAAATATTGACTAAAAAAAGTAAATAACTAATGTAAAAATATAGTCTGAAAGCTAATATTTTACTTAATAGTCTTAACTAATTTTAAAATTTTTAATTACTTACGATTCTGGTAATGTTTTGAGATTTTTGTTATTCTAGTGGTTAAACATGAAATATAATAATAAAAATACACTATCTTGTAGGAATATGCAAGTAAATATTATTGATTAGAATTAGAAAAAACTAAAAAAATTAGAAAAAACTTCTTTAAAGTGATTGTGAACAAATATTCTTTTTTTATTGAAATGAAACTGAGTCCCAGAGCTACAAATATTATTTTTAAAAATCTGATAAAATATGAATATTTAATAATAATTATAATAATTAACTAATTTTTCTGCTTTACATTTCAATCTTAGTTTTAGAAAATTTCACCTGCTTACAGAGAGAATATCAAAAAATACAGAAAGAAAGCTAATGTGTCCACAGTTAAATCCTTTGAGCTTTAAAGTAATTTATTTCTATCTCTAAGTTTTCATTGGTCCGTTTGGACTTTTAAGTTCTCTAAAAACTCTGTTGTTTGCTGTCCTCTATTAGAAAGTCAAGTCCTATACGTGTTTAACTTGGTTTTTTCCCAGACTTCTCAATTTCATTAAAATGTGTTACAATCTCAGACTGTCAGAAAGTGACCTCATGACTACTAGGAAATTGACTAGCAAGTACCACACTATATTTCTTATGTGAGCTTAGCATGTATTGGCTCTATGAATCAGTCTTATTTCTATTATGCTGAGTGAAATAATTTAAAAATTGAAAAAAAATATTGTGGAAGACAATTTTTCTAAAAAGCTAGAGAAAGAAAGAATAGTTCAAGTGTGGTTGCCAGAGAGGAAAAGAGGGGGACTAGGAAATTAATTAATAGCTAATAAATATTTATTAAGTTGATGATGGGAAAGAATATAGAATGAATGAATGATCAGATATTGTGTATATTGTAATTGATCTTGTGGAACAAAATGTGCATTATTAATTTTAAAAAACAACATGCTTCATAAACTTTCATCCAAAGAATAATAATAAAGCAGTTGGTCCAGTCTGACTCAGTAAGCATCATTCTCAAATATGGTACACCCAACAAAGACACGGCTGATCAATGTATTAAATTTTAAGTCACCTTGAAAAACTTTTCTAATCAATTTGAAAGAAAGCAAACTATAAAGCTTTGCATACGGCTATGTTGCAACAGTGGGAAAAAGATAAATTCATAAATATCAAACCAAACCTGTTGAAGCAGAGTCAGAAGACAGAAGACAGAATAGAACTGTTCCATACTGATACTTAGACTAGAATCTCAATGGAAACATACTTCCAGGTCTACACACTTCCTCCACCAAGCAGCTAATAGGTTCGAATCCTTGTCTTTACATAACTATGAATTATAGGATGATAGAAAGAAACTTGAATAAAGGCTAGTGATGTAACAGATTACTTGTTAGGCTGATAACAAACAAACCATCAATCATTCTATGTAAGTGAGATGAAGCAGTCTCCTCCTATCAATAATTACAACCTCATAATAAAGTCTACAAGAACCTAAGTTTCACCTTGAATCCATCCCACCTAAATTTAAAGAACATCTCAGGAACAGATTAGAGATCTTGAACACAAATGAATGAAAATAAAGTGAACTGTGGGAGGATATCATATTGTATAAAACCATTATTGTAGAATAAGAAGATGGATCCAAGAGGTGTGGGAGAAGCTGGAAACAGAGGGATGAGGATGTGCAGGGGGTGGGGTGGAGGGATTAATCATGAGGTTGTACAATTTGTTGGGTGTGGGGATGAGGAAAATGGAAAGAATTTGTTCTTGAAAACATTGTACTCAAATTTTGTAAATAAACTAGTAGAATTTTTTTTTAAAAATGAGCCAAACACCTGGAAAGAATTTTCACGAAGATATATGGATGGTCTACTGGCACATGAAGAAATGGTCAAAACATTGGCAATAAGAGAGATGCAAATCAAACCCTCAATGAGATACAATCTCATCCCAGCAGCAGTGGCAAAGTTTAAGAGGGCAGTAAGCAGTAAATGTTGGAGAGGATGTGGAGAGATTGGAACTTTCATACACTGTTTGTGGAATTATTAAATGGCACAACTGCTCTGGAAGTTAGTTGGGCATTTTATAAAAAAGCTGAACATAGAAATTCCATATGACCCAGGTATTCCACTGCTGGGGACATACTCCAAGGAAAATAGAACTGAGATATGAACGAAGATTTGTACACCAGTGTCCAAAGCAGCATTATTCACAACAACAAGAAAATGGGGAAAGCCCAAATGTCCATCAACAAATGAATGGATTGAGAAATTGTCCTACATTTACATGATGCAATACTATGCAGCACTCAGGAGCAACTATTTTGAAAAATAATATATAATATGAAAAAGTCTAGAGATCACTATCTTGCATGAAGTAACTTAGTCTCATAAGGACAAATACTGCCTAAAATCATAAGACCTTTGTTGTAAAAATGGGACAACTAATAAGATATGTACAAAAGTCCAAACATGGAAGAGGAGGAGGTAGGTAACTGAGGGTGGGTAAGAGGGGAATCACGAAATTACAATGTTTGAGGGGCAGAAGGAAAAAGGGAGAAGGAATTAGAAAAAGTCCAGTGGGGACATGAAAAGGCATCATAATAGTGGTCATAGATCAGTAATTTTATAAAACATAATGTATGGGAATGATAAACATGATGTAAATAAAGGAATGAGGGAAATACAAGGTATATGAATGAAACACATTGTATACAAATTTTTCATGGAAAGCACTATAAAATATTTTTTAAAAAGAATATTATTTATGAAGAATGTAAAAGGTCATTATAAAGATGGAGGAGGAAGAAAAGACCAAGATATCAGAAGAGACTCTGAATATTGCCTAGAGTGCTGAGAAGTCAAAGCAAAGGGAAGAAATCAAGAAATTAAGGAGCCAAACAGATTTCAAAGGGCAGCTTTGTAATACAAAGCAAAGTATTATAATGAAATATGCAAAGGGCTGGAATAGAAAAATCAAAATGGATGAACTCCCTAGCAGTTCTTAAAGTGAAGGAACTGATGAACAAATTTGTCCCAGTTACGGTACTTAAGTGTGCTGTGGGCAATGTATTCAATGATCCAGGAAGCTTCAAAAGGAGATGGAAGAAGTGCACAGAGACACTACACCAGAAAGATTTGGCTGACATAGAAGAATTTCATGAAAAAACATAGTCATGAGACAATGGTAATGAAGGAGAAAGTTCAAGCTGCTCTGAAGAAAGTGACAAAAAATAAGGCCCCAGGATTTGATGGCATACCAATTCTAGCAGTGAAATAGCTAAGTCACATGGCATTTCTATGATCAGCTTTTTGAGGAAATCCCAAACTGCCTTCCAGAGTAGTTGTGCCATTATACAATCCCACCAACAGTGCATGAGCATTCCTATACTTCCATATCCTCTGGTATTTATAGCTTGCCATCCAGTTAAATATTGCCACTGCTACTTGGGTGAGATGATATCTCATTATGGTTTGATTTCTTGGGTTTTTTGTTTTGTTTTAATTTTTATTTTGTATTGGTTTGCTTACAAAGTTTGTATACTTTATGTTTGCACTATTCTTCATTCACATTGTGTTTCATATATAATTTCCATTCATTATATTTTAAAAAAATTAATCACCATCAGTTTATGCCCCTATCACATTCCAGATTCCCACTGGATCTTTCACCTCATTAGAAAAAGTGTTTGATGCACACAGAACTTAATCTTTAGAAGGTCCCATTTACCCTCTCTCTCTATCCACCAAATTGTACAACTTTGTGTTTTTGTCCCTACCCATCCTCACTCTTCTGCTCCTACACTTTCCCCCACTGGATCCCTATAAATGTTTACTATTTATCTTTTTATTTTTACAATAATGATTTTATGCAGTATTTGTCCATATGAGACATAGTTCACTCAACATAATGCTTTCCAGTATCTCCCAAGTAATGTAGTATTTTTTTTTAGTCATTGCTTATAAGTGCTGCATGTATTCCATTGTGTGAATTTACCACAGTTTCTCAATCTATTTTGTTGTGGTTGGACATTTGGGCTGTCTCCCTGTTCTTCCAATGGTGAATAATGCTTCTATGAACATTGGTGTACAAACGGGAGAGAATAAAACAGATGAATGGGACCTTATAAAGATTAAATCACTGTATCAAAACTTTTTTCCAATAGAGTGAAAATATTTGTATCTCACTTATTGCCAGTGATTATAATAATTTTTCCATGTGTCTGTTTGCCATCTGAATGTCTTCCTTTATGAAAATTCTTCCCCTGTGTTTTGACATTTTGTGATGGGTTATCTATCCTTTTTATTGTGGAGGCCTTGTCGTACTCTGTAAACTTTTTTCATGAGTCCTCTGTCTTAGGCTGTTATTGCCAAATGTCTTTTTTTCCTGTATTTAGGTTTTCTTTTGACCCCATTAGAAAAAAGTGTTTGATGCACAGAGAAGTTTAATCTTTAGAAGATATCATTTGTCAATGTTATCCTCCGGTTATACATTTGTGGCTGTATTTACCAAATATATGATATATATTTATAGTAGAAATATATACTACAAACTACGGCTTCTAAGTTTGATCTCATTTTATTTCAGAGGATCTTTGTAGTTTTGAGGTTAACCTAAGTCTCTGATCTACCTTGCATTGATTTCTGTGTATTAGGTGAGAAGTCCAGCTTTTCCAGCAAAATAATGGGCGGGGGGGAAATGCTCATTAGATATATTTTGTTTCCTTTTCAAATACCAGTTAACCTTGTTGTTGTTGTTATGTGCCATCGAGTCGCTTGAGA